GCTTAATGTAACCCTATATATCAGGATGCTGGTGTTATTAATAATCATAACAATCAAAAATACAGTGTTTAAAATTTTCTTAACCATAGTAATAATTAAAATTTAATAAAAAGAAAATTAAAACATTTAATAAGTTTGGTCCCTGTGTCAGTGTTTCTTTAACGCTGGCAGCATTTCCTCACTGTATTTATTCGTTGAGCGAGGAAAGCACCAGCTCTGGGGTCACCGGTAGGTACTACCTACCAAACGCCAACTTAAATCTTTAATTAGCGCCTTTGCACTGGAACCCCACGGCCCACGAGCCTCTACTCCAAAGGGAACAAACTATATATTAAGTGTAATTCAAAGATTATGCGTTTACAAGGTATGTATTTTTTGTGTATGTTAGAGGACAGCTCTTAGACACAGGACCGATCCTGATCCTGTTGTCGAACAGATTTCCAAAAAATCTTTACAACCTTGCTAAAAATTTACCAATTAACATTTAGTACAAATACCCTAATTAAATTTAATTCAAATAAGAAATATTGTCATTACTCTAGTGCATTTTGGAGTCGGTTATATATTTTTAAAGTAATTTATAACACTTTGAAACTACCGATACTTAAGCAAACACCAATTTTTCCACTCAATATTAGTATTGATATGATACTAAAAGCACCAATGTACATTATATGTGTCATGTAATTTTGAATCGGTGAATGGTTGTGTCCTGAGTGCCTTGACATGCTTCGTTTGTTTTTGTTCACTCCGAAACTTCTACGCCATCTGCGATAGTCAATTGTTTTTTTTTACTCCTCATGTCGGCTATAATTGATAAACGTGCTTTTCTTAAAAAGCTTTCAATCAAACATTGTTCATACAACTTTTCGTTGCCTGTTCTGTTGCCTTTTTACGTTGTAAACTCTTTCGTATATAACCTTATTACGGTTGTTATTTAATTTTTGATGCTGTTTGCATTGAGATATTATGTAACCTAACATTCGTAACTTACATATATATATATTAGAATTATTAATAATTAGAAGAACCAAATGTTAACAACAATCATCATACACTTGTAAAAAATTTAAGTTTTAGTAGTAATAATGAATCCTTAAGTTTTTCAAACATTCATAAATTGTAATATAACATCGTTTCCGATAATGTCCAATAAGTCGACTATTAACTATGCTTATATTCTTTATAGGTGACATAATTGTCACTTAGATTTAAGAACCCATATTTCAAGTTAGTTTTTTGTTAGTCGAGCGTCGCAACCCCTAATTTTAAGTTAGCTCTTGTTTTAAACGATTACAGTTGACACCTAGCTTCAAACAAAGCGTGTCCCTCCAACAACCGCCACTGAACTTAACTGTTGTTATGAAATATTTCTTTATCTTATTTCCTCCTGAATTCCTCCAACAACTTCAAAAACATCCTACTTCATGGTCATATTTTTTAATATCTGGAGCATGGTTTTCGCCATCCCGTGTCGAAAGTGTAAGTTAAAGATTATTGTTTCGAGTTAAGCGCTTAAAATGGTAATTATTAAACCAAGAGCGTGAGTTAAAGTACGGCAAAATACTAACACATAAATTATGTAGTAAAATGTTTACATTGGGTAAATAGCTGCATTTACATAGAACCTTTGTTTCGTGGCATTGACATTCTACGGCTTTAAGCTAACAAGTTGATTGTTTAGACACTTTTGGGAGTCGCCACTTGTGTCAACACGGATAAACATTCAAACAGGTTAATAATCTAACAGCCCTTCAGAGTTGTACATCGTGAACCTAGAATTTATCTAGAACGAGATAATTCCAGATTTTTCAGCCTTCTAAAAACAAGTGAAAGTCTTTTTATAGCAAATGTGTGGTGAGATTTTAATTAAAACTAAATAGTACGCCCAGGAGCGTTGGCCTAGTGGCTTCAGCGTGCGTCTCTCATTCCTGAGGTCGTAGGTTCGATCCGCGGCTGTGCACCAATGGACTTTCTGTCTATCTCGCATTTAACGTTCGCTCCAACGGTAAAAGAAACCGTAGGTAACCGGCTTGCCTTAGACACAAAAAGTCAAAGGCGTGTTTCAGGGCAGGCCTAGTTGCCTATTAGATTGACAAAAGATCATGAAACACCTGATACAGAAATCTGATGCCCAAACCTAAAAATGTTTCAGCTCCACTGATTTATTTTAAATACGTCCATAAACTTTGAATGAGCCTTTTGTAATCTGTAGATACATCACCTAAACCGCTTCTAAATCAAATAATTTTTTTGTGATAGTTTTTTCATCTTTTAATCAATTTGAATAAGTTCAATTTGTATTATCATTAAAATAATTAAACGTCAAATGTTGCAAAAACAACACTTTTAACTTCTTATAATAATAATAATTTATTTGCAAGAATATGGTAAAAAAGTATTATAGTGGTACAATCTAAAGTTCGCATATATAATGGTGTGCAAATTTGTCCTAAAAGGTAGAATAGAAGTTACAATTACATTATGAGCCAATGCGATAATTATTTTATCACTACATCATCAGATTATTTAAGTATAACACGTTATCAAATTAATATTAATAATAATGTTTCACTCAAATAATAATCATTAACAGAATAATACATTACCTACAGCTAGACAAACGAAAAAGAAACATTTCAGATAAATTCTTTATCATTTTATAAACTAACATTAATACCCGGTTTTGCACGGCTATGTTATTAAATATTAATGGTTAGACATAAGATATTGTTGACATTTTGTAAATATTAGTGTTCTATAAAACTGTAGTACATCACTTTGCTCTATTGTCAATAGTTACCGGATTCTATTTGGTTGCATTAAAGAAGTTTTCATACGATTTATGAAAATATTCACTAGCCTTTTATTCATGGATAATGTAGGATTCAAATCTGTGTTAGTTAGCCTATAATAGTATTGTTTTTATAAGAAAATCCAGATTTAAACGTTTATCCTCGCCCTATGAGTACTAAAAGGAACGTTTGAAGTTGTCTGAACGGCTTAAATAGCACTTATATGTGGAGTATGAAAGCAAATCTCTCACGTCTCTATAGTTTGCGAAAATGTTATTGCTCTTATGACTTCAAAAACACGAAGATAAAATAAAAATGTGTTTCTTCATTTGACAACAAATTATAATGTGTAAGATTTGGGAACTATTTTAAGTAATAAATAATAGTTTAAAAAAAACTAAAAAACACGCTATTCTAAAAAGGAAAAATAATTCCTAATTTGGGCTTCCAATAACAGAATCTCAATTATTTGTGAAAAAGCGTGGGGTTGCTCAAAGAATATGGTATAGAGATGTGCTTTAACTTTTTTTTAACAGTATTTATTTTTAGAATTTTTATTTTAATTATTGCATTGTTATAAATTAATTTGATTTTTTTTAATTTTTAACAGACTCCACTCGATTGACTGCATAAGTCGCACGGGTGCATACAGGTGAAGCTAATATAAAGCGTGTAAAAAATGCCTGTGTCATGGTTTCCAGGTCTTCCATAACAGACACAATTATAAATTCCTCAAAGAATATAATATATAAAAAAATATTTATATTATTTTGGAATTTGTAACAGTTTTAAAAAACCCAAGTGCATGAGTGAGGGTGCATGTAGTGAATGATTTTCTTTTTATAAGTTATTGAATATATTTTTAACCTTATTCACGAAATCGGAGTGAATTTAAAAAAAAACATTCGTTTTACCTCTCATAGTTGAAGTGGAAAATACGCTCAAAGAAAATGTTTTTTAGGTCCAAAGCAAATTGACGTTGACGAGAGGTTTGCGAAGCTTTTATTTATATTTTGTTTGAAAAGCGTCAAAAGAACAAGTTATTATTATACACCATATTATGACCTTTTGGAATGACCTAGTATTATTAGTACACATAGTATTTCGTGACTTTACTGTGATATTTTGCAGGGTCAGATTCTGAATCAAAACTTAACTCTAAGTATGGCATAGACATACGTATATGCCAAAATCCATCATTTCCTTGGATCTTACGGTTCTTTGGTTTAATGTTGCATGAATATGTTCATTGTAACAAGAATTTAAGTTCCATTTTTCTTTGCGTTAATATTATTTCTAAACATTTCGACTAACGAAACCTAGGATCGATTAAGTATATGATACAAAGGTGTATTAATTTGATTCAAAAGTTTTAATCGATCCAAAATTATTAATCATAATTCTAAAGTTAATGGCAGGGGCCAAGCGGTCAATATATATTAATGCTTATAAAAAAATTTAAGTACGTCACTAATTTATTGATTTAATGAACTTATCTTAATATAACATTAAGGTAAGTTAAAGTTTGGTATCTAAGCGTGGTACAGGCCTTACTTTTATCGTCCATTATTACGAAATATATCTACTCCGAATCTTCTGACTACTGACGATATTGAAATCAATATCTATTGAAAGTGACGTCTATATATATATTTTTAATTATAACATTTGGTTCTGCACTTCTCGCACGCATTGTTTTTTTTTTTTTTTTTTTTTCTCTTTAACTAAGGTTGCCTGGAAGAGATTGCTTATTAGCGATAAGGCCGTCCGTTGCATCCCTTAGAATTTTTATGTATTGTGTTTCTTTTATTTGCAACGAAGTGTAAAATAATAAATAAATAAAGTGTAGTATGACCAGTTGATTCAATATAATATATTGAGACAGGCATCGTGATATTGGATCGCGATATTTATTGACCGTCCGACCCCTGCATATGAAGCTAAAAAGCTTTGAATGTAAACTGCTATTAATTATAATTATTAATATTAATTAACATACATAAATCATGGATCATCAATCAAAAGAATTGCCATAATGGTTACTTCAAAGCATAAGCATATATAGATAGAGAAACTTCAAGAAGAGATAAATGCAGCGAATTCGTTAGTTTACTTTGTATAAAATTTTACTTGTCTATTCATTATCTGTAGTTTATTATCTACTTTCACAATATACATATATTAAAAAATTGTTAAGTGTATAAGCTACTCCTTTACACAATCGGGATTAAGGGGTGGCATGCGCAAAGGGACAGATCGATGTTCTGCGCGCGCCACCCCGTGACTAACTACGCAGTTCGCAAACATCTGTGAAACCCGGTTATCGCGTTTAAAATTCGCCAATTCGCGTGTGTTACATCTGGCTGGTTGTAATGCTGGCCCCTCGGCTGTGATGTGCCAAGACCCTGCGTGACCTGCAGGATGGATGACTGTAGCTACTACGAGGAAGGCGACGATCAGGATATGGTATGGCCTTTTATAGCGTAGACTATATTTAGTATGGGACTTGAACCGGTTCATTTAGGCATATTTTCTGCTATTTTACATTACAGTATATTCTAACTTAAGGAATTATATTTTGCAATATAATTTACAGTTTAAAAGATGTGAAGACCCCTTTAAAATTGATTTACATCCTAAACGTAAGTGTGGTGTTTCACAAGGTCACACATTTTATATTCGCGTCCAAGACTTTTCCTAGTGCACATTTGCTTACGTAAGTGATAGGACTATGTTTTCCTATAATAAACTGGAAACTTATGTAATAACAATTTATATATTCCATTTCTAATTTTCTTGAGTTTTTTATACGGATGAAAAAATGCGTCGAATTCTATACTCTCTTGTAATAATAGATTATAGAAAACAAATATACAGATAAAGATATTTATTTATTGGTTAATAGAAATTGTAATTTTAATAACAATGAAAGTGGATCGTTGTCTTTTAATATTATGAAATCTTTATTGTTTTGGTGAAACACTTACAAATGCAGACATTGGCATTGTGAAGCAGACAATGGTATTGATCAAGGCTTAGCGCGTTAAGTAAGACTTCTTTGAGCGGATAAATTTGTCTACGTAATTTGAATTTCGTGTAGGTTAGGTATCAAGGTATAAGGTATCAATAGGTACCTAAATGAAATAATCAGATCCCCTTTTATAATTTTTTTCATAAATTTAAGTGATTTTTATAAAGACAGCAGTGTTGGCCTAGTGGCTTCAGTGTGCGACCCTCATACCTGAGGTCGTAGGTTCGATCCCCGGCTGTGCACCAATGGACTTTCTTTCTATGTGCGCATTTAACATTTGCTCGAACGGTGAAGGAAAACATCGTGAGGAAACCGACATTTCTTCGACCGAAAAAGTCGACGTGTGTTAGGCACTGGAGTCTGATCACCTACTTGCCTATTAGATATAAAAATGATCATGAAACAGATTCAGAAATCTGAAGCCAAGACCTAAAGAGGTTGTAGCACCAGTGATTTATTTTTATTTTTATTTTTATAAAAGTACCAGAAAACCTTTTGTTATCTAGTAATCTTTTCTAAGTACATTAAATGACAGTACATTACATGTACCTACGTATAATATAGTGCAACTCTCTGACCATGGACACCTGTATACCAGCAGTTGCCTTTGAGGGAGTGGTACGCATTTTCTTGAAGGGCCTTCAAGGGCCTTTAAATCGTTTTTGTTCGGAAATACGTCTACTGGTTGCTGCACAAAGGTGTTGCTTTGTTGTAGATTCGGCGAGACATTTTAAGTACATATTATTTTGAAACTTATACTATGTATTTAGAAGTGTTTAATCCGAACTGCCTATTGGCTAGACTATAGGCTATATAAGGAACTTTTTGGTGATGATATTGTTACGAGCTAGGGGATCGGATAGAAACGCCGTAAATCTCTTCAAGGGTTTATTTTCAATAAATCTAGAGGAATTTGTTAACATATAAACTTGAAATTACGACAAAAATTCACTAAATACACAACAAAATACTGTCACTAATTACTCTAATATCACGACTTCACACAGTACTTGTATACTTTTCTTCACTATATTCGCACTTTGTCACCGGTGTTTATGTTGGTATGATTCAAAACTGACTAATGGTCGTGTCGGCTGTATAATCCCTGGGAGGATGTTGAGAACTCTCTAGGCGGGTGCACTGAGTAGATCGACAATTTAGAACGTGCACGCTCTCTCGCAATGTCCGTCTGTGTAGGCGTTGAGTCGGTGTCGGAAGTCGATCTTCCCTCTCTGCGTATGTGTCCTTGTCCACACCTAGAAAATTGTTCTAGAACATTCCTTCGTCAAAGGGGTATAGGCTGAAACGCCTGAACGGTTTCTGAAAAGTTACATTCGATAACGTGTTCTGAAACGTTGAAAAATTTTATGGAAATAAATTGGATTTTTAAATGTGATTGACCCTCCCTGAAACGTCAGAAATCACATTTCAGCCTGCTGAAAAGTTCTCTAACTAGTGGAAAAATCTAGAAAATTGGGACCGTTTGAAACACCCCTCCTTGACAAGCTCTCGAGCATCATCACTTTCTTTCACCGTTATCCTTTCCCATAGAGACCGAGTCTGCGAATCCTTAATAGCTGACAATCTTTACATTTCTTGATCAGTCTTCAACATCTTCACGATAGTGTATCCAATAAAATATTTCTTTAATCTTCATAAGAGTCCTCTTACTCCTAAATGTCCACTAGACAAGTCAGTATGAAACATTTCCAATATGTGCCTTGATCTGGACAACTATTAATATCAAAATTGGAATAAATCATATGTAGAACTAAACTATATTGAAGTAACTCTTAGTAGGGATTGAGATGGTCCGGGAGGAAATTAATGTACAATCTTCTTGTGGTTATAAATTTCCACCCCAATCTAGATGGTGCTTTATTCATGAACTCCCTTCTACCCTGTTTGTTGACCTTTTACATAGTGTTGAGACAATAGAACTTTGAATCTCTTATGGGAGAAAAATGTGAAAACTTTTTAGTTGTTTTGTTGATAGGGTTGAAGGGCTTCTCATAGGTTAGATTACGAACGGTTCCACTCTGTTGAAAGTCTGTTCGTCCACATTGATAATTACAGAGTCAAACCACTATTTGTAGAGTGTCTTTTAAGCAGACTTCCTGTTCTCCACATTAAAGATTCCTTTTTCCAGATCTATTTTAAATTGTACAGCTTCAAAAGTCAGCCGATTGAGCATCTATAGTGGAAGAAAACCTTATGTCTGTAAAATCTTCCACCAATATTAAGGTGGATACCTCTCCCCGATCGGTTAAGTGACCTGTAGTGTAACAAGTGTACATTTCCTGAAAGGGCTTCATAAATATTAATGGTAGAAGTGGAGGGTGAGTGAGTAATTAGTTCATTGACACTCGTCGATAACCAAGGTATTCGGTCTAACCTTCTCACACTCGGAAGTCTTTCTTTGGGACGAAAACCTATGTGCCCCACTTCCCCACACGTTAAAGGTTGGTAGTTGAAGAGTTTGTTTTTCGTGACAGCCCTAATGGGGGGAGAATCTTTTATCGCTCCACCTACGATGGGTAGAGCATCCTAGGTTGTGGTGACAAGGTTCTCACCTGACTTACGATCTTTATTCCGTCATGAAGGTTTGACTAATATCTTGTGACATCTGGGGAGTAGGCTTTTCTACAGCTTCTCTATTTCAGACCCCATTCTTGAAGCTTACTGGTGTGGCTCTCTGGTAAGAGCCCTTAGATGGCTCAAATTTGAGTCCCCATAAGATAGAGCATAGAGGGGTCAGTGTCACTTACCTGTTGACTTCTAAACTAGGGCTGCTGCGTCCCAACAAAGGTAGTAGTCACCCGTTTGACCATCTCAAACTGATAGCAGGAAGATGTACCGTAAGGGAGGTACTTTAGATTTAGATGGTGTACAGTCGTTATGACTGGTCAGGAGATCTCTTCTAATCGGAATACGTTTCTGTTTCGAAAATTTGCAGTCCATATCAGATTCCAGTTCTCGATTTTTTTATCTACTTCTTGTTTTAGATCTCTAATCTTTCTCCGATACGGCAAGCCTGTTCCTCCATCAACGACGTGTCTGAGCCTGCTCTTCCACGATTTGGCGTGCCTGTTCCTCTTGACGGGAGCCTTTCCTCCATCAATCGCGAACCTGTTCCTCCTGATACGGGCCTTCCTTGACGTCGGCCTTTCCTCTTGACTGGCCTTCCTCTTGAGTGTGCTTTCTTCCATATGTGTGCCTGTTCCTCTGAACGGCTGTTCATCCATAGACGTCGAGTCTTCCATCATTGGCGCAGGGCAAGGAGGATGTGTATCGTTGTTTCGCCCATCGGGTTGCATCGAAATTTGTCGCCGGGCGGCGTCGGGTGAGTGTGTCGACTCCCTCCGAGTGGAGACTCGGCCACAAACTCCTCTTGATTCTCCCTGAGTAATTGGCATTTTTCTATCCCACTTTGACACCAAAATGTTAGAGCTAGGGGATGGATAGAAACGCCTAAATCTCTTCAAGGGTTTATTTCAATAAATACAGGAATTTGTTAACACTATAAACTTGAAATTACGCAAAAAATTCACTAAATAAACACAAAATACTGTCACTAATTACTCTAATATCAGCATTAACAGTACTTGTATTCACTTTTCTTCACTATATTGCACTTTGTCACTCCGGTGTTTATTTGGTATGACAAAACTGAACTATGGTGTGTGTAATATCCCTGGGAGGATTTGAGAACTCTCTAGGCGGCAGTGCAATGAGTAGCGATCGACAATTTAGAACGTGGTATAGCATCTCTTCAATTGCTCGTCTTGTTAGGCGTTTGAGGTCGGTGGGAGAAGGTTCCGATCTTCCCTCTCTCTCGTATCGTTCCGCCTTGTCCCACACCTAGAAAATTCGTTCTAGAACATTCCTTGTAAAGGGGTATAACCAGGCCTGAAAACGCCTGAAAACGGGTTTCCTGAAAAGTGTACCATTCGACTACACGTGTTCTGAAACGGTCTGAAAAATTTTCAGGCTCTGAAAACTAGGGTAACATTATGTAAATGGATTTTCTAATATGTGATTGACTTGAAACGGTCAGAAATCACATTTCAGCCTGCTGAAAAGTTCTCTAACTAGTGGAAAAATCTAGAAACATTGTAGTGACCCGTTTGTAAAATTAATGATGCTGTAGTTGTATTAAGTAGGTACATTAGGGTGAAGCAAATTTCCCTGAATACTTGTTCTAGACATTTACACTTTACTTAAGTTTAGAAGATTTACTTACACACTAGGATAACTTTATACATATAATTCTACTGTACGTGTGTATGTCACTGAACTCCTCTTAAACGACGGGACCGATTTGAATGAATTTTTGTGTATGCGTTTGGGGTTGATGGTTTATTCACATATCAGCCCGGCAGGTGGCGCTGTAGTCGGTATCTAGGTTCTATACAGCAAATAAACAGCTGGTATATATATAAATCTTCTGTGCATGTATTCGTAATTAAACTCCTAAACGGCTGGACAGATTTTGATGATTTTTTTGTGTGTTCATGTTGAGTCGAGAATGATTTACATTATTGATTTTTTTTCTATGTAAGAGGTGTGTACAGGTCAACGTCTGTCGCATCCGCTAGTTTATATACATACAAAGGTCTATTAGTGACAAATCAGATTATGATTTTATTAAAATAAACTTTTATTACTGCGTTATCATTATAGTTTACTCCTTTAGGTGTTTCTTCCTCATTAAAACTTGCAGACAATAAAAAATATTTATGAAGAGTAGTGAATTGTAGTAGTCCGGTTTCTTATTTACACCTGGGAACAGCTCGAACTGATGAAAAACTGATTGTTATTTAAACTATGGGAATAAGATTGAGAAAGCTTTAAGACAAACAATGGTAATAATTTATCGAATCGCTCTGGGAATGTAGAAACCTTGCTGGGGAATTAATGCAAATATACCATAATCTTGAATAACGCGTAGGTTATCAAATGTAATACAAGGTTGGACTAAATTTGAACGTAAGTGAAGGAGTTTTTATGCCAATACTACGCATATGCTAAATACAATTTAATTTTCAACAAGCCTGTCAATGACTAAGTTCAAACCAAGGTTTTGCCAAGCCTGGAAAAACCAGTTTGTTTAAATCTGAAAGACCCAAAAATCGATCTTCACTGAGAGATACGACCTCAAAATATTCAAAGTTAGAGTGTACTCCTCCCTCAAAGGCCGGCAACGCACCCACTGAAAATGGGTGTCCATGGGTTGCGATGACTGCTCTTTTTGGGTATGCCACAGGCTCGTTTAACCCCACCCTATTATATCAAACTTACTTGCCTATCAAGAAAAATAATGGGGATACTTACTTGTCATGCATTTCTCGGGCAGTTTTCGATCAGTCCCGGAACAAACTTTTCTCTGAAGTCGTAGCTCTGCTACGTGTAGTCTCGGCCTGGAGTCGACCAATTTCACTCCAAGAAGACACATCTTTTAGCGTTTTCCGCTAAAAACACCCAACACTTCTCTTTTCGAAGACACTCTTAAAGCCACCGCCAGCATATATATGTAAAATTCCTTTTAAGACAAATTTGCACGCCATTATGTGTGGCAGAATATGCCAAATTTAGATTCTACCACAATAACATTTTAATACAATATTTTTGCAAATAAATTATTATTATTATAGGTAGATAACTTTAGTTAAAACGGTGCTATTAGACAAATTTTTTGTGCAAGTCATTTCTTAAAGTTAATTGCCATTTAAATTAAAAGCCCGCATCCATAGTTAAGATGTTCTCAATATATTAGTAACATAATACCTTCGGTTCAAGAAACGTGTCATTTACATAGGAGCCACTGACCTATTTGCGACAATTGTTCTAGATTCCTTGTATTTTTATCTCTACACAACATACAAACGTAACGAAGTAATTTTTGCAGGAAATGCTGATACCTCTTATCATGTCTATTTCATAATAATAGAGGCATTAAGCGTTCAATATACTTAAAAAGCCTTGTAAAGTTTCATTTTTACAACAACAATTTTTCATTTCTAAAAAGACAAAAGACATTAAATATTTAATAAATCCCAGCTAGTAAAGTTTTTATTAGAAATTTCAATTGTCGTTATCTGTATTTTTCTTTACTTAATATTATTGTTTTATTTATTTAATTATAAGTAATCTTACAGCTAACATACATAGTATTATAAAACAAACACTTAGACAGTACAGAAAGCCAAAACAGATTACATAGATAAACAATATTATATACGAAAAATAAAACAAATAAGCACATCAATAGACAAAACCTTTTCCTCCGTCTAAACGTTTGCTGAACTTCCACAAATATTTCAAGATCACAATTACCCATATAAAAAAAATGCATTTAAAAGTCTATTTACCGAGAAAAGCTTTAGGCTATAGAACATGGTGCTACGATCGAATTAATGCGGGAATCGCAGTGGTCAATATTACCGTAATACAGGCATTACTGTCATTACCGATTTCACACAACAATATGTCACTGAACGGTTTAAAATTACCTGTTTCTTGCGATAAGTGTTTTCTAATGTATCTACAAACCTAAATAAGTTCGAAATAATGAAGGCCAGGATAGGAAAGGCTAGGAGGACGGAATCGGAAAAATGCGAATGTCATTTACATAGTTTGAAGTTTCACTGTTTAGCAATCTGTGATCTGTCAAATTAACTTGACAGATAAGTGTTTGATTATTATGATTGGAGACTAAATGTTGCCATTTTAACGGCAAAGTTATTTTAGTTATATTACGCTGAATATTTACGAAATTAATATATTGTGTCCTCATGTGTTTTGGTATGTCTCAATGGGGTAATTAAATTACGATCGGACCGAGATACTGCGACATGGCGATTATTATGTATCTTAAAAATAACATAATAAAGTGATGATGGTGCTTTTACATTTTTTAAATACATTTTTTACGAAATATAAGCGTTTGTCAAACTCATAGTAGGTAAATGCATCTCGTGACTCGCGCTGGCAAATTATTATCCTGTACCCCGGATAGGAGGGGAGGGCGTCCATAATCTTCAATTGCTTCCGGTGTTGAGCTTCGAATTTTATCTCGCCCCAAATCTTTCCGGCTCTCTTAGCCCCGTCTGCAATTGGACATCGCCAGTAAATGAGCTCCCTGGTAACCGCTTTCCTTCTGGTCTCTTCTGAGTTTGTGGCCTATCCAAGTCCTCTTGCGATGTTTAACAAAATGATGATATAGTACCTACCACTTTCGACATCATCTACTCTAGCAATTAGGGAAACTAGCCTTATTTAGTTAGTTAGCTATTAAATGTACGTACAGTGTTTTGCAAAATTATTTCGATATAATTATAATACTTTTCTCAACTGGTTAGTAGGTAACAAGTTTCTTAAGTGCAGTAACATGACACTGCTGAGCTATTACTGCGACCACAAAACCACAGGTATTTTCTATTCATAGATTATTTGCGTATGAAAAATAGGATTTAAGAACCTTACTTAAATGATGAGTAATTTACAATTGAACGACTGATGCGACAATTCGTTTATCAAAAAATTATATAAAATCATAAATAAGTTATTGTGAGAGTAATATTAGTCAGCTAACTGTGCTTGAGGCAAGAAACAAGCATAATTGCATTAGCGTCATTTTAAAAAGGAATTCCTTTTATTTTGTAGGACATAATATTTACGATTTGTATTTTATAGCATTTGATGAGAAAGATATAAATTAATTAATGATTATTTTTCCTCTCTAAACATTTATACAGTTTGATAACAATTAAAGCGCGTTGAGGAAACTTTTAACAGAACCTTAGTTTACAAAATATTTATTAATTTGCTTTTTATCTTAAAATTTTATATATTTATTTATTTTATAAAATACCTACCATTACAAATAACACCTATGCGATAACTAATTACAATTACATCACATACAAAACAATATATTAAAAAAACAACTCAATATTTAAAAAAAATGATTGAAATATTTACAAAAAGACTAACAGTAACTGACATCAAGCAGAACTTTTGTCAGTTCACTCAACGGACAATTAAAATCATCTGTTAATCTATGCAGTTCGTGAATTATTGTCATACAATCAGGTGTCCTTTTCAAGAGATCAGTGTTCGCTGGGCTACGAATAGTACCTCTGAACCTTCTAACGTAATCACCAGGCACCCTGAGCCCTAGCCACTGGAGCACTGCCGGATTGAGTTCCTTTCTCAAGTCCGTTATAGCCCACGCATCCTCTTATGAATAAATTTGGAATATACTGCATGATAAATGATTTATTTTCTGTAAGTAGGTTTGTACAAACACTTTTAC